TAAGGACGAAGCTTCAAGTAAACCATGTCTCCCACCTTGAAATCAACCTCTCTCCTATGTTTATCCGCTTGGTTCTTCATAACTTCCTGAGCCCGAATTAAACATTTCTTCAGATGGGATAAGGTCTCATCACGCAGCTTTAAGGACTCTTCCAAATCAAAATTCTTTGTGGATCCTTTCTCATATGGAAGCAACGAAGGTGGGTCTCGACCATATAAAACCTTGAACGGAGTCTCGCGCAGGGAAGTATGATAAGATGTGTTATACCAAAACTCTGCCCAACACAGAAATTGAGACCACGTCCGCGGGTGAGAGGAGACAAAACAGCGTAGATACGTTTCCAAACAACGGTTCAAAACCTCAGATTGACCATCTGTCTGTGGGTGGAATGCTGTACTATACTTGAGCTTTGTACCGGCAAGCTTGAAACATTCCTTCCAAAACTCACTGAGAAACAACCTGTCACGATCAGAAACAATACTTGCAGGATAACCATGAAGCCTTACTATCTCAGAGACGAAATTTTTGGCAACATCAACAGAAGTAAACGGATGCTTGAGGCTCAGAAAGTGTGCAGACTTGCTTAAACGATCGATCACTACCAAGATCACAATAACTCCTTCAGACATAGGTAGTCCCTCTATAAAATCCATATTGATGTCCTCCCATACACGGTTTGGAATAGGTAAAGGTTGCAAAAGACCCGCTGGTGATAAGGTGGAATGTTTATGTGTTTGACAAACATCACATTCAGCAACATAGTCACGGATGCGTTGTTTAATACCCCTCCACGTAAAGGACCTCTGCACTCGGTGTAAAGTTTTCAGAACTCCAGAATGACCCCCTTTTTTACTATTATGACACCCAGACAATATCAGTGGAATGAACTTGGAATGTTGAGGAATCACCAGTCTCCGTTTGGACCAGACCTTCCCGTCTATCAACGTGAACTTAGAAGGCAAACTCTTATCTTTCACTTGTTGTACCATTCCTTGAATTACTGGATCTGCTTCAATTTCTTTGTATAAATCCTCCCATTGTAATACTTTGGGAACCGTCAAAGCCAACAAAATAGAAGCCACCGAGACACTTCTAGACAACCCATCTGCTGCTTTATTCTCTGTTTCCGGTTTATAGAATATTTCAAAAACAAAACCCAATAGCTTTGTTAGCCAACGTTGATATTCCATGTTAACTTCTTTTTGTTCCAGCAAATACTTAATACTTCGTTGATCTGTGTGAACCTGAAACCTTCTTCCTAGTAAGTAATGCTTCCATTTGTGTACTGCCATCACCACAGCCATCAACTCCCTCTCATACGCTGGTTTAAGTCGTTCCCTCTCAGTCAAAGCATGGCTAAAAAATGCAATTGGTCTCTTGTCTTGCATCAAAACCGCCCCCACACCAAAGCCAGAGGCATCAGTTTCGACGACAAAAAACCTTCTCAAAGTCTGGAAGTACTAACACATGAGCAGAGACCATTGCTTTCTTTAACCCCAAAAATGTAGATTCTGCTTCCGAAGACCACTGAAACTGATCTTTCTTCAACAATGTTGTCAATGGTCGAGCCAGCAACCCATAACCCTTAACAAAATGTCGATAATACCCGGTTAGTCCCAAGAACCCGCGTAATTGTTTAACTGTTTTCGGTGTTGGCCACTTGTCCATTGCTGCTGTCTTCTGCAAATCAGTACCAACTCCTTCCTGTGAAATAATGTGACCAAGATACTCCACTTGTTTAGCTCCAAACGTACACTTATTTTTGTTTGCAAATAACCTATGTTCCCTTAAGACTCGTAGCACCTTCTCCAAGTGTAACATGTGATCATCAAAAGAGGAACTGTACACCAAAATATCATCAAAGAAGACTAATACAAACTTCCTCAAGAACGGTTTGAAAATCTTGTTCATAAGCGCCTGAAACGTAGCTGGAGCATTAGTTAGACCAAAGGGCATTACCAAGAATTCGTAATGGCCTTCCACGGTTCGAAAAGCAGTTTTCTCAATATCTTCCTCCTTCATACGTATTTGATGATAGCCTGAACGTAGATCCAACTTTGTAAAAATAGCTGCTCCGTGTAACTCATCTAATAGTTGATCAATCACTGGAATTGGATATTTGTCTGGTATTGTTTATCTGTTTAAGGCTCTATAATCAACACAAAAATGAAACCCTCCATCCTTCTTCTTCACGAGCAAAACCGGACTTGAAAAAGGACTAACACTTGGACGTATGATGCCTGATTGAAGCATCTCACTGACCATTTGCTCCATGACTATTTTCCTTGCATGAGGATATCTATAAGGATGAACTGACACCGCAGATACACCTGATACAAGGTTAATAGCATGTTCTTGGCCTCTGATAGGAGGTAACCCTGTTGGAATAGCAAATAGGTCACTGAAGCTGTCCAAAAGATCATGGAGTTTTGGTGATATCTCTGGTACTGCGGATGATGTCACCACCGTAGTAGCTAACTGCACTTCTCTTCCAGTGTCACTACCACTGTGAATAGAAGACAATGACTTCAGGGAATATTTAGTGTTATGAAACTCCGGTTCTCCTAGCAAAGTCACTCTTTTCCCCCGATAAACAAATGTGAGTTCCTGCACCTTCCAATCGACCTCACATCTGCCTAACGTTTCCAGCCATTGTACCCCTAAAATGACATCAACATTTCCCAGCTCTAAGGAGATAAAGTCGGATGTGAATACTGTATCATTGAGAACAAAGTCAACTGCTCTGCATACTCCAAAAGCTTTCACAGTAACTCCGTTCCCTAACAGCACATCTAAGCTACAAGCTGCAGAAACTTTCAAATGTAGCTTATTCACAACTGTAGGTGAATTAAAGTTGTGTGATGCTCCGCTATCGAGCATGACAATTATCTCCTTATGATTAATTCTCCCACGCATCTTAGTAGTTTTGGGAGAAGAAATCCCAAGAAAAGAATTATATGACAACGTCATCAATTCTTGTTCTTGCCGTAAGTTCTCGTGTAACATATCTTCATACTCTTGCTCTAACACCTCCACTTCCCAACCGTTCAGCAGAGAAAGAATGCGCAATTCTTTGTTGGGACATACATTTGCATGAGCTCGAGACCAAGGTGCCTTACATTTGAAACAAATTTTATCTCTTCTCATGGCATCCAACTCGGCGTCTGTATGCTTTAGGCGTGGACGTTGGTTAGTGTTACTCGACCCTGTAGTATCTTTCTTCTGACCATTGTCAACCTTACTCTTATCACCTGGTTGCCACTTGGTTGTTATAGTTGTAGTCTTCTCTCCCGAATTATACTTCTTCTGCCTCACAGGACCGGCCACATTGGCATTACTGACTACTTTACAGAACACACTTGTCTCCATCCTTAGAACTGCCGAGATGTAATTCTGCAAGCCTTGAGGATCTTTCATTCGTATAACCCCTTTCATTTCTGTACTCAAACCATTGTAGAAAATCCTCTCCAACAAATGATCAGATAATCCCTGAACTTGAGCTGACAATGTCTCGAATTCAGATACATATTCCGATATTGTTCCAGTTTGTTTCAAAGCAAACAATCTCGTCTCTGGCTCCTCATCAATCGACTCAGAAAATCTGACCATCACCTTCTGCTTGAAATCAGTCCAATTCCTGAAACTACCACGGCGTCTCACCCAACCAAACCACTTCTTCAAAGGTCCCCGTAAACACAAAGGAACCAAATCCATCTTTGCTTCCTCACTATAACGTCCCAGCGCATAGAAGTACTCGATATCTGCAATCCAATCTACTACACCAGAACCATCACAACAAGGCATCTCCAATTTCTTTAACATCGAATCTCTATTAGCTAAATTCAATCCCTCAGGTCGATAACCTAGCGGTGCACTTCCGGTTGGTTCCGAGAATGTATTAGATACCTGAGACGGATAATTGACGTTTTCCGATTGAGAAATGATTCGTGAATCGGAGTTTTTCCAATCGATTTCATCATCGCCTGAACTGAAGAGTTGAGTGCCGCCATCGTTGCTTGTAATGTCGTCACCTGTGAATTTGTCGCGGCGTTCTCCGCCGTTAATCGTTCTACGCTCTTGGACAAGTCGAACACTTGCGTCTTCCACTCTGTTTCCGCATCATCGTCGTCGTCGTCGCTAGATCGTATCGCCGCCGCACCTCTCGTCATCGATATCGCGTTGCTCGAACTTTTCACCGCACCAATGATAGAGTATTGATACTTGTAACTCGAAGAACCTGTAATCTTTATTAAGAATCAATGAAACGTTTACAGCTGGAAGTACAATCGAGAATTACAATCTCATAGCGAAAGTAATCTCAGATCATCGTTCTCATACGAACGAGACGTTCTGACTCATATTGTCAAGAACATACAACAACAAGCATAACGAATCTAACTGACTCTCTACTCCTTTTAAACGACTCTATTCCCTCTTCCGATATAACGGCAAAGCTTCTATTCCAAACCGAGGCTTCACTTTACTCTTCTCTTCTTTCTCTTAAGACAAAGCCTCCCTTTTATTCCAAAGGTCTCTCTTACTCTTTAACTTTTGAAACTCCNTCCCTCTTCCGATATAACGGCAAAGCTTCTATTCCAAACCGAGGCTTCACTTTACTCTTCTCTTCTTTCTCTTAAGACAAAGCCTCCCTTTTATTCCAAAGGTCTCTCTTACTCTTTAACTTTTGAAACTCCCGCGCCTCCTTTCTCTCTATCAACTCTTGCTCTGTTTCTCCTAACAAACACCTTATGGTACTTATCATAGCCTCCCCTTACTTTGACAATAAATTAGTTATAAGTTTTGATCGCTGCGTCAGCATCTCTGAAAAAAACATGCCTAATATATGTTGTTCCTTTGAGAAATTTTCTTTCTATGTTGGTTACTGATTTTCTTTTATGTTCCTTAGTTTTCCATTCGAATTCAAGAAAAATGTTGGAGGTATTAATGAGTTCAAGTTTGCTCAAGTTATACAATGACTTAAACTTGCGTCACGCTTATGCTCATAGCTTGAGTTTGCTTAGATTGATCCGCTCGACAGGATATGTGTACGCCTCATAGTTGATTTGCTGTCCTAGACCACTTAGCTTTGTCAATGCAGTTATCAGATCAACCTGGAAACACATGTTCCAAAAGAGCTAACATGAGCTCGAGTGTAAAGAACATATGATCACACAAATCTGAGTAACAACAAACCTCGTAATCTGTCTGAGATACGGTTTCACGGCTTCGTTGGTACTTCTGAACCCATGGTGCAACTTGCGGGTCGCTAGCTAAGAGCTCTTCTGTTGCTGCTTGATCAGGACCCAAGAAGGCGGACATTACAGCTAACTACAAATCCACAAACATAGATTCATTTACTTTAGTTGATCCAATAACCGATTTTTTAATAAAAAGAAAAACGGAAATTCAATGTACCTGACGAGGACCCAATCCAATGGCAATGAACTTATCTTTCATCTCTTGCACAGTTGCTTTTCCCCATAATGGGATCCTTCCTTCCGGATCTGCCTCTGTTGCATCACTCCTTCCAAATTGTCTATCAAACAAACCCCACTATGCATTCACAAAAGTCAGTTTCCAATTGAACAATGTGTAGACGACTCAAACGTTGGATAGAATTGTGTACCTGACCACTTGAACCATATGCTGTGTATAGTAAGTTCCCTTTCTCTTCATTTCCACCACATTTTCGGATTGCTGATGCTAAAAATGTAGCCTTCACCGCTGCTTGCCCTACAGAACATAACCATGAAAGACTTAAGTTTCACAAGAATAATGCTCTGTTCATGAACAGTCTTTACTTAGTATCACCTGCCAATTGAATGAGATCTGCATATGAAATAGGTCCACCCTTTGAGAACGAGTCAATCTCTTTCTTGGCTTCCTCTATGAGAGCTAACCCATCAGAAAGCCCAGCGTTCTCTGCTCTGCTTATCTCAGAGCTACATGTAAAGACAAAATCAAGCCTAAGGTTTCTGATTGCATTCGCATAGAACAATGATTTAAAGAGAAACAAGTACCTGAACCGTATGGATCCATTGGCTCCACCAGATTTTGTAGCCTACACAACTTAATAATATTTGTCAAGAGTTATGCAATCACTAGAAAGAAATATCATGAAGCCCTGACCTTATCATAAGTCATAGCATCATTTAGTGCTAGAGTAAGTAAAGAAGGTACAAGCTCCGGTTTAGCCTTAACCGCTTTCGAAAGTGTAAGCTTGATCTTTGCTGCATAATAAAAATGTAACCTTTTGTTTCAAACAACCTCTTGTTACTTGGTTTTGTACAAGAATCATCTTCAAAACTTACATTGGAACTCAGATCGCTGTCTACGCTGATTCAGATCAGCAGCTTTTGCATCGTCCACATGGTTAATGAAACCGTTACCTATTAATTCCTAACAGAGAGATCATCACTGCCAAGAACTCATCAATCACATTATATCAACCATTCTTGTAAAGTCGTGGCAAGTGAATTGTAAAGATACCATTCCGACAGCAGTGCCGGCGAGTTTGAGAACATCCCGCCGGCGCAAAGCTAAAGTGTTGTCGGAAACTTGAGGATCGATCTTGCAACATCGAATGAGAACCTGATGATCATCAACTTAGTTCGAAAGGGAGATGATAAGAATATGTTAAAAGTAAATGTGAAACGGTTGAAACTTACAAAGCGATGAGAAGAAGAAGGTGTGAGATGTTGACGATGGTTGATGTTGGTGAAGGAAGGAATAGTGGAGAGGAAAGAAACTCCTTCCATGTCTGGTTTCTGATGAGAGAGAGAGAGAATGTCTGAAGAAAATGGAGAGTGTGTGTTTGGGTTTTGTGAAGGATACAATTGTGGATTTTGTGTTATCCAAACCAGCCAATCATATCAGTTCTATTGATTTGGTATCGTGAAAGGGAGGCGTTTTCTTTTTTACTTATTAAGCCAATTTAAAATAATTGTTGTAATTTCAGTTGCATAAGATTATAATTTTTGAGAAAAAATAAGGATATTTCTTATTTGTACTATCCTTTTAATAGTTTAGATATACTTACATACTTTTAAATAATAAAAACATGAAATATAAAATATTTTCTATTTTTTCTAAGGGTGTAACTATAAAAGATATGCTTAATTATTACATATTTATATCTTATATATTAAAACAGAAGTCATGACAAGATCACTTATAAACCTAGATCTCTTAATGCTGTGTCCGATCATTTAGCTAAGACTGTCCGATCCTTTTATCGTGAGCTCATGTATATTGGTTGTTCTATTCCGGTCTAGATTCCCAGACCACCTCAAACTTAAGTAATAGATCAGCCTTTCATTGTCAAAAAAAAAAAACAGAAGTCATGACTTGACTTCATGTGTGATTTTTTTTTAAAAATGGACTATTACTAGAAAGTTATCTTTCATTAATTCTATAATAATTTTATCATTATTATATCTTATGAAAAATCATATATAAAATAACAAAGATACGCTTAACAATTAGGTTTTGGTAAATTACCCACACCTTCCAACTTAGTCACACAAAATATGTCAATAGATATAAGTTTAGGAATCTTCTATTATTTATAAGGAAATATGTCAATAATAGTTAAATGCATCCACAATATATTAACAAAAATCACAGATTAGTAATATGGAATATTTATATACCCTAACAAAATTTACACGCTATATATATTAGATAAATTTATTTCAAAGTAAAATTTTAAATTATATTGTTTTAAAAAAAGAAATTTTTTAAAAAATTCTGTTAATAAAATTCTTTATAATTTTAATTTATGAAGCTATAAGTTTAGTTTTTAGCAAAAAAAAATTCGAAGTTTATATTATCTTTACAAATTAAAGTATACTAATATTTAATCAAGCTCTATTTATATTATTTTATCTAAAAATGAAATACTAATCTAACAAACAATAAAATATAGAAGAAGAAACAAACACATGTTTGAAAAACATGTATAATATAAAAAGTTTGAAACAATCTATTTGATTAAAACACTTATTATATAATATTATTTTGTTTGAAAAACATTTACTATACATATCGTAAATATGTGATTACTATATTATATACTAATTTACAAGTGAAAACAAAATGTTTATATAACTAACTTTAAACGAAAACAAACACCCGCGCGGTTGCGCGGATCAAAATCTAGTCTACTCTATTAAAATAGAGTCCTAAATTTATCTATCATAAATGTTGTCGTTAAATTTTAGACTCTTTTATATTTGTTAGAAAACTGCTTAATTATATGGACCATATCAAAGTTGTTACAATCTTATTATTGTTATATCATGCTGTTATTAAAACGAACCGGACAACTACATTAAACCAACCTTTAATCTATTAAACATAAACCAATATATTGACATGATTTAATTTAAATTAGTTTTTGACCCGCACATCCGCGGGAATATATTTTTTAAAAATTTATAATTTATAATAATATTTAATAATATAGCTACATAACTTTTACCATATTACATTTTTGTTTTATATAACTTGTGGATATATAACATTTCTTATTGTAACTGGGTCATTCATATATTCTATTTTTTTATATTTTTATTTTATTTTAACACATATTATGTTTTGTGAGAGGAGAAAAAGTTGTTAAGCTGGCCATGTTTATGTTTGGGTTGATATTTTTGGATGAAGGATATTGCGAATTCGCGATCATTATAGTTGACATTGGGATAGGCAGGTTAAATAGGATAAACTTAAAATATTTTTGTTAGTTGTGATTTTAACACAAAATCAAGAAAATATACTGTTTGAATTTAATCTATATACATTCCTTTTTAATTATACCATAGTAAAAACATAACATCCTTTTTACATATAAGGAATACGTGTTTTGCAAGTTTTATTAGAAGAATATGATGATTGCTCGAGTTTTTAAAGGTCGTTATTTCAGGAATGCATCACCCCTGGAACCGATCAGATCTTACTCGCCGTCCTATGGTTGGCGATATCTGGTTTGCAAAGAACTAAATGGAACGATCGTGGGAACATGATCGTCCATTTCAGTATGGAACGATCCTTGGCTCCCTTCCACTCGCCCGAGACCAGCAAAATCAAACTTTACAGATTTTTATCCGGATCTTACGATAGATTCACTTATTGATGCGGCATCACGGACTTGGAATTCGCAGGTTATTCGGACTTTAGTGGACCCCCAGGATGCTAAGATTATTGAGAGTATTCCTCTGAGCCGAAACGGGAGTGCAGATAGAGTTGGATGGCATTTTACAAAAAAATGGGAAATATACGGTTCAATCTAGGTACCAGGTGGAGCGGGTGTATCCAGATAGACAGGGGTTACCTATTGAGTTTGGTCCCACGGTCACCCCATTGAAAGCTCATTGCTGGAAAGTACGTTGTTCACCCAAGATGTAACATTTTTTTGTGGCAAATAGTAACGGGGTGTTTTGCGGTTAGGAAAAATTTGCGTGGTAGGGGCATGCAAGGGGATATATGTTGTGCATGATGTGGAGCTCCAGAGGAGTCCATTTGTCATGTGTTCTTTGAATGCCCACCAACAATTCAAGTTTGGGCTCTCTCAAGGATTCCCTCAAACCCGACGATTTTTCCGAAGCAATCCTTATTTGCAAATATGGATCATTTGTTCTGGAGGGTACAACCGGAAATGGATGATCATCATTTTGTTTGGATTTTGTGGTATATCTGGAAGGCAAAGAATAATAAGGTGTTTAGTAATCTAAATATTGATCCGAGGGATACACTACAACTGGCCGAAACGGAATCTGCATTGTGGAAAGAAGCACATATAGTTTTGCCTTCTCGGATACCTCAGGTAATTTCGGGTCCGGTTATATCGGGTCGATGGTGCTTTACGGACGGATCTTGGAAACAACAGGACGATTTTTCGGGACAGGGATGGTTTACAACCCTAGAAGGTTTCTTGAGTTTAATGGGAGCACGAAATGTTAGGGCGAGTCAATCGCCACTTCATGCAGAAATTGAGGCTCTTATTTGGGCTATGGAGTGCATGCGAAATTTAAGGCAGTACACTGTAACTTTTGCGACGGATTGTTCTCAATTGGTGAAGATGGTTTCGGAACCTGAAGAATGGCCAGCATTTGCAAGTTACTTGGAAGATATAGCACTTTTGCGAAGAAGTTTTCAGAGGTCAGAGCTTCTCCATGTACCTAGGACGCATAATTCTAAGGCGGACAGTCTCGCACGTAGTGCAAGGAAGCAACCGTCTTTTGTGGTCCATTTGGATTCGGAGCTACCGGTTTGGTTTTCAGAGTCTAAATGAGTCTGTAATGATGCTGACAAAAAAAAAAAAAATGGTGACTGCCAAAAAAATAGGGAAACAATTTTGGATGTTGTTATGTTTTTGAAGAAACAAATATATAGGTATGATCTTCTTCAGTTAATAGTAATTGCGTAGAAATAGGAATAACTTTTGAATGGTAGTGAGTTGTGGAAGGAAAATAGCAGATTTAGTTTTTATTTTGTACATAGAAAAATCGAAAATACGCCAAACAATAAATTTGCTATACCATAAATTAGCTAAAGAATAAATTCGAAAAAATATCATAGTTAGTTTCGATCTTGTACACAGAAAAACAAAAAAAAAATTACAAAACCCATTAATTTGCTAAACCATAAATTAGGTAAACCGTAGCTTGATTAGTCAACATACAAAATGTTGGTATGCATAATCTAAAACAATATAGATAGAATATAAACTGACAAAAATAAAAAATTATAAACTTTAATATTGATTAGATTATTCTTAAGAAATCGTGATAAATCGTTTAGTTTGGTTTGTAATAGGTTAGCTAATTAAAAAAAACTATTGGTCATAGGTTTAATGGAGTATTGGATTGGGATAATATAACGTATGTGTCAGTTGGTCAACTATTAAAATTGGAGTTGGTTTCGAACGATGATATGAGGTATGTGCTGGTCTAATTTAATTAATAAGATTGTGTATCAAACATGACGGTTTAATGTATTTGTATAGGAAATAAATGGGTTAATAAAAGTATAAAACTAACGTGTTTAAGGTTAGTGGCATAGAATTGTAATTATTAAGGAAAACTAAGGGTGAATATTCATTTGTACTTCAGTTTTAATAGTTTAGATATTGGTTATATGTAATCTATTAAACCAATGTACTCTATTATAAGTAATAACAAATGAATTATATTCTATGCTATCATAGTCTATCAGACCCGTACGTTTAAAATTTTCTCATCGACCAAAACTCATCACACAAAGAACATGTCTGTGTTTGATTTGAATCCCGGTCTTGAGGTATCTTATATATAAAACAGAAGTCATGATTTGATTTCATGTGTGATTTTTTAAAAAAATGGACTATTATTAGAAAGTTATGTTACATTAACCCTCTAATAATCTTATCATTATTATATCTTATAATACGCTTAACAATTTGGTTTTGGTAATTACCCCACACTTTCCAATTTAGTCACGCAAAATATGTCAATAGATATAAGTTTAGGAATCTTCTATTTTTTATAAGGTTATATGTCAATAATAGTTAAATACATCCACAATATATTAACAAAAATCACAAATTAGTAATATGGAATATTTACATACCTAACAAAATTTACATACTATATATATTAGATAAATTTATTTCTATGTAAATTTTAAAAATTATATTGTTTTTTAAAAAAAGAAGTTGTTTAAAAAATTAGTTTTTAATAAAATTCTTTATAATTTTAATTATGAAGCTATAAGTTTAGTT